AGGCTATTGTGGATTTCTTTGTGCTTCCTTTATTAAATACAGGAAGTTCAGATCCTGGGGAGATCCTGTCCAGCATGTTAAAAACAAAGCACTTCATCTGCTGTTTGCTGATCTACCACATCATTCCCGCCCTGGCAGGAAGTCAATCCTTGGTGCTTGCAAGTAGAATAAACAAACTGCTACAGGAGAGGCGAGGGGCTTGTCTCCCCAGTTGCTTGTAACAGTGGGATTCTTGGGGTACTGCTGGAATAAGAATTCCAGAGGCCCTACAGGAGAATGAGATATAGTTCAAAGCTTTATTTCCATGGAATCATACCCCTGGGTTTGCAAAGTCTCATTTCCCTTTGCCCAGTCATATTATAGAAGAAGTGTAGCTGGAGTTTCAGCAGAGCTAAAATCAGAGCCAGTGTCGAGTTTCCTTTCCATTTGGAGCCAGGTCCTGTTCAGCATCAGGCTAGCTTAGCTGCGTTCCCCACTGCAGTCCATCAGTCCATGGCATGTGGGGGTCTGCGTGGCTGTGGGCCACACTGGCAAATGCAGGAGAACCAAGAGGCACAAGAGTCACAAGCCAAGCATGCCAAGAGCAATAAGAGCCAAGGGAGAGAATTCCGCTGTTAAGGGATTCTGTATTCCTGTTTATGCCCTTGCAGTGGCCATACCCATTCTGGCCAAACATCTCTGCTCCTAGGTATGATTGACAGACAAGTATCTTCTAGGATAGACCTTCCAACTTTACTGTGCATGTGTCTATCTTTTCTTTGTTGAATCCCTTTCCCCAGTGTTTTGGAAGGAATAGGCCATTGTTCCCTGAGGAAGAGTGTGAAATTGCAGTTTCCTGGTAAAGCTGCCCAAATGACATGCCTATAATATCTGGCTTTCCCTTTGCTCCTTTCCTGTTTTAATAACTAGCTAATTACAACGGTATCAAGACCAACCTTATAGAACTAGTGAACATTTTGTTTTATTCCCACCCAACTTCAAGAGAGAACCTGGGTATAATAAAACAAGGAAGTCCTTGGAATAATTACGTATGATAGAAGTGGCTCAAAATTGGATTCTACAATCCCCATATCCACCCTTCTACATAGCTTAGGCAATCTGCTAAACCCTCCACCCCAGGATATGATTCTGGGACTAGTTTATAAATCTTCCTATTCATCTTCACTCCAAGTCCTGATTTGTTGTCTGAAGTACTCCAGTGATGTTAATTAACATATGTAAAGTTGGTGCCGTACAAATACTCTCATTACACAGAGGTAAGCCAAGGGGAATGAAATGGTAATGCTCCCCGACAATTGTAGATCTGACAAAGCCAGCGCTGCAACCACGATTTCTGTGTCTAAATCTCGTGTTTTCGTTGCAGGCAGTACTGTGCTGCTCATGCCAAACTGGCTGTCTCCTCTTGCTCAGTGGCACCACATCTGGACCTGAGATCTCACAGGTAACAGGTTTTGAAAATATCAGCTATTTTGAACCGACCTGCTGAAGATCTTTCAAGTTCATTTTCTATACTACTGACAATGATTTTCCTGAAATAAAATCTGATCATGTTGGTCTTTTGCCTCAACGAAACTCACTGCCAGAGAATCAAGTCCACATAAAGCCTCGCCTGCCTCTACACAGTTCCCCTTACCCATATTGAGATATTTGATCCCACAAAAGAACTCTCCTCTATCACCCCACATTCTGCTGCACCTCTGCTAGGAAACTTCCATCCATCTGGGGAGCCTCCTTCAAATCACTCAAGGGTCAGCGCTGTGTCACTTCCTCCAGGCCTTTTATGATGTGCTTTCTTCCCACTGGGCTGCCCTCTCGGCAGATGTGGTTCACATTTCATATACCCTCCCGTCACGTAGGAAAAATGACTGTGAAAGGTCTCTGAAAAATGCCAAACACTACACTAACTAAACTCTAAGTTATGTGACTATTAGTTATTATATAATGAGCCTTATTTCTTTAGAAATTTAATTATAATACTTGTGATGATTATTATAAAATTAACCTCTAAAATTAGAACATTTTTTCCTGTTTACGCATTGCTCAAATGTGAGCTAAGCTTAAAATAGTGATGAGAACTGTGCTCACTTCAGCCACAAATATATTAAAATTAAACCCATACAGAAAGAATTAGCATGAACTTTGCTCCATATGCCTTTCAGTAATTAAATATTGCATTTTATTTGCTTTCCAGAATTCTACTCCCGAGTTTCATATTTCATTCCTTCTATCAATGAAATAGTCTTCCTTGGCACTCTAATTCTCTTTTAATAATAATTAAAAGTTTGATTTCTTAAATGACTTTTTGCTGTAGCATTGAGTCTTTGTTGCTTAACTATCCAGTCTGAAGACAGATCACCCACTGTTTCTGGAACACTGATAATAACTTTAAGTGCTTAACTCTGTACCAGACACTTTTCTATATGACCTCTGAAGATAATAAAATTTAAACCTCTCCACAACTCACATTTCCTTTCTTAAAGACTAGAGGCCCGGTGCACAAAATTTTGGGGGGTCTTGGGAGAGCCAGTTTCAGTGGGATCCCCACAGGCCAGGCCAAGGGATCCCACTTGCCAGAGACCCCCTCACTCCACAGACACTAGAAAGGGACTGAAGGAGGCTGGTTCCAGGTTATGTCCAGCCCTTCTTTCCCAGTCCTGCCCCCTGGCCACCTTCTAATCAATTTCCTTTCAATGTGCATACCAGGTCACTAGTTGTAAATAAAAATCCACACCCTTCTGATTGTCTAATCAGATCTCACCTGCTCTGCCAGCCACTACCAGCTCCTTTTCAGGAAAGTAGGAGCTCCTCTGAGCTCAGCCGACTGGCAGAAACAGTGCTGGGGTTTATGCAACTGCAGGTAACAGCTGTAGCTCCCTCCTGCATTGTTTCGCCCAGCCATATCCTATGATTGAGTTCTGACAAGTGACCTGATACTCTTCTGCTCACTGTAAGTTGTCTCTATCTTTTAAAAAATATTGACACATGGCCAAGAAAGATAACTTATTAAAGTTTAAGGTGTTTACTCTAGCACTAAAGGATTTCAGAGAATAACCATGCCTTCTGCCATTTGGCATGAACAAGAAGCAGGAGAAAAAGCAACTAGTCAGAAGAGGAAATAGAAAGTTAATTTCAGAAGTTGAGTAAGAGCCTGGCTAATTCCAATTTCTTAAACTTTCAAAAGATTGGGGAGGGGGGAGGAGAAATGCCTAAACTGCGTTACTAAATTATAGTATATTTTAGATTTTTAAAGTTATAGATTCACAGTTAGATTTTTAAAGTTCATAAGTAATGTTGCAAAAAGAACATCAACATCGTTCTCATCTGCCATGTATATCTCTTTTGGAAATAACATTGACGTCTACTTTGAATCTTTGTGAGTATGAAGCTCAAGCCGTATAGGACTACTATCCACAACCTACCCCTAGGTGCCCATCCAAAAAGCCTCAACAGAATGGGAGTAAAAGCTTAAAAAAGTGAGCTAAAGAGAATACAGAGTAGCAAGGAAGCCTTGTAAGGAGATCACTATTTTGGGACTCCGATAACTGGGTGCCAGGAGAAAGGGTGCAGAAACAAAGTAAAAAAGTCAGGAAAGCTGTTTAAGACCTAGAGTAGCGCTTATAGTGATCTCAGGTGCACTGGGTAACATGCATGGTCATTTTCTACTGAGAGGCATCACTGATTTATTTAAGAGGAATGTGCAACCATCCAGTAGGTGCCCACTGAGCATAAGGCACTTGTGTTGGGGATTGAGGACTGCAAGTCAGGAAAAAAAGAGTATAAAACTGTCTCTGCTAACCAGGAAATAGAAGTGTGTTCTCTGCATTCTCTGGGAAGCAAATGAGGAGGTAATCGGGTCTGAAAAAAGAAAGGGCCAGTCTTGGAAAGACCTTCAATTAAGTTGTCAAACACTTCTAGAATAACTTGACTGGTGAGGACATTGCTAATTCATAGGTGTTTGGAAAATCAGTGTGGATACAGGCAAGTACTCGGAAGTTGATATTGGGAACCTTTTGTGCTAAACTCCTTTCTTTGCTACCTGGGTGTTACAGAAGTACCTTACAATCCATCCATGTTAACTACCTTACAATCCGTACAGGCCATTAGGCCACCATTCCAGCCCTCAAAGAACTCACAAGGTGTTGGGGAAGCCAATCAGATCACTACCTCGGGCCTCCGGTAACTGGGTGCCAGAAGGCAAGGGTCACCGAAGTTGAATCTTGAAAGGGGGATAGCCCTAGCCCTAACCCTAACCCAGGTAGAGGACACGACGTCAGGATAGGAGAGGGGAGTCGGTGGGTCGTGAGGAGCCTGTGCGTCCAAGTCTTTTTCTGTTAGGCATTGCCTTCCTTCCACATTTCCAACCCTGACTCCAGTACTAACTCGGACAATAAACTTAATTTCGGTGAGAATGTCTGGTGAATATGCTTCTGAGATACCTACATATCACGGTCGCCCCAAATCCGTTGTTCTGCAATAAACTCTCCACCGTTTTTTGTAAAGGGCCTCTGAGCCACCCGCCTTGAAACGCGGCTTCCTCTCTATCAGTGTCTTATAAATCCATCAAAAAGTTGGGAACTTGTGAAGAGAAGCGGGTGAAAGACGGTCGGTCGTTGTGCGAGGTGCGAGAGCTCAACGAACCTACACAGAGCCCTCGGCGCAGGGCGGCGGCCCTCACTGCGCAGGCGCGGGGACAGGCGCGCGCAGGCGCCGGAGGAGCCGGCGCGCGGGACGGGGCGTGGGGGCCCGGACTTCGGGGGGGAAGGGGGGCGCGGCGCATACAGCATGGCGTCCAACATCTACTTGGTCCGCCAGCGGATCAGCCGGCTCGGCCAGGTGCGGCCCGGGGAGGCTCCTCCCCTTCCCAGCCCCTGTCCACCCCTCACCTTCTGCCACCGCTCCTCTCAGTCTCCGCCCCAGCGCCCAGGGAAGCGGCTCAACCGCCGCCGCCCCGCCCCGCGGCCGCCGGGGCCCGCCCCGCGGCCGCCGGGGCCCGCCTCCCGGAGTCCGCCCCTCCTGCCCTTCCTCGCCGCCGGACTGCTGGGTCTTGTCGGTCCTCCTCCTCCTTCTCCTCCTCCGCCCAGCCGTCCTGATTGTCTCTCCCTCCTTCCCTCAGAGGATGTCCAACTTCCAGCTCAACCTCAACCCGCTCAAGGAGCCCCTCGGCTTCATCAAGGTCCTCGAGTGGGTAAGTGCAGCCCGCGCCGCCGGGCCGGGGACCGCGCCGCCGCGCCCGCTCCCGCTCCGGCCCCCGCGGGCCCTTCTCCGGCCCGGCCGGCGCCCTCGGCGAGGAGGCAGGCAGCCCCGCGAGTGGGGGCGCGGCCCGGCTCGCGCTGGCCCCGGAGTGCGGCCCCTCCCGGGCCGGGGCGGGATGGGCGGGGAGGGCCCGCGAGGCCGCGGCCTGGGCCCGCGCGGGTCCGGGGCGGAGCCGCCCTCCCACACGGACGCTCACCTCTGGGTGCCCCCGTGGAAGTGTTTCCCTCTTTACCGCGAGGGAAGGGAAAGCTTCCTGTTGAGGTCTAACCGAAACCCGGCGGGCGGACCGGCGGCCGTGGCCCCGGCCGGCGCTGCCCCCGCCTCCGCCTCCGCCTCGGGTGCCAGGGCCAGGCCGGAGGCCGCTCCTTCTCCTTCTCCCTCTCCCTCTCCCTCGAAAGCTAGTCGTGCCCGGTCGAACGAACTTGACGAGCACTCACTTCTTAATTTGTTCCTAAGCTTGGCTCCAAGTTAAAAAATGGATAAAAAAAATAAAGTGGGTCCGGGAAGCTTGGCGGATCCGGATGGTAGCGGGAGACGTGCGGGGCGGGGGTGGGAAGGGCTTTTAACCTTAAACGCGTCTCGCTTCGCTGTGAAACACATGCTAGGAATCGCCATCACGTTTAAGTTATTTCCAAAGCAGCAGCAGCCTGTGGTCCGCTCTTTACTCCTTTCCTGGGAATACCCAGTTAGTAACATCAAAGGGGGCTGATTTAATCCGACCTTGACAGTGACCAAGTCGCTTGGAGGCGTTGGTGGATACGCCAGGCACCGCAGAGCTTCTGCACACTCCATGGCCTAGTACATATTTCAGTGCTGATATTCAGGCGAACGTTCATAGGCGGCTGGCATCTGTCCAGCGTGTGCAGGCAAGTTGTTTTTTTATAGCGAGCAAAATTTACACCAAACTCTCTAACCCTGTGTGTTAGTGCTACAGTAGTCAAGAGGCAGGACTTTCGATTTCCTGTTTTAAGAAACCTACCTAGGATGTTTTTTTTAAAGTAACACAGAGACACTCCCATTCCCTAATGGGCACTCCATTTGATTTCCTACTTACACGCGGTTCCCTCCCTTTCCCCCAGTTTCATTGGGTGCTTTCTAAAAACTGAAACCCTGCTGGTTTCACACAAATACCTATTTCAAAGACACAAAGATGTGCTATTTAGGGTCCTGTAAACCAAGGTCCAGATTTAAATATAAAGAAAATGGTTAATTGAATATGAAAAAAATTTAAATTGCAGGTGAAAAATCACATTTAATTAAGCTAATAAAATATAAAGGTTTTTGGAAAAAATCTTATAGCTAGTAGATTTAATCTCGTTAAGGATTACAATTAAATTTAAATTTTTACTTACACAAAGAGGTAGTTTGTATTTTGTGCTTTATATGATTGGTCTATTTAAAAAATATATACTTAACTTTTTTAGTATTTCAGGACAGCAATAAGTTGATAAATATTTGTAGCCAATATATTTTTACTATCCTTTTAGAGCTTTTTAAGGAAATACTATTGTTTGAACAACTTATTACTACATAGAACTTTTTATGAAAAGATTATTCCTTGTTAATGGTGTAGTGAATGTTTATTCAGCAAGTATTTGAGTTTGTGTTATATACTAGAGGCTGGGTGCAGGAAATTGGTGCACCGCAGCCCAGCCTCCGCTCTCTCGCAGTCCAGGAGCCCTCAGGGAGCGGGCCTTAGCGGGCAGTCGGACATCCTTAGCTGATGGGGAAGCAGGAGAGGCTCTCGCCAGCCACCGCTGCTGTGCTCACCAGCAGTGAGCCTGGCTTCTGGCTGAGCGATGCTCCCCAGGTGGGAGCGCACTGACCACCAGGGGGCAGCTCCTGCGTTGAGCTATTCATTAAAGAAGCTTAGCTTCTTTAAACCCAGGATTCCTACCATAGGTAGGGTCTCACTCTCTTAAACAAGTGAATGATATGATTAGATTTGCCTTTTAAAAACCTTAATTTTGTTAGTGGTATAGGGGATTGAAAAGGTCAGAAATGAGAGGAAACCTATTGCTTGAGAAATAATGAGGACCTAACATTAATTGCAGTGGGAATAGAGAAGAGAAATTTAGCAATTAGAATACATCTGAACGTGAAGAAGATAATGTTAACATTTTTTAAAAATTTTAAATACTGGAGGATAAAAAAAGCACTATGCTATAGTATAGTATCCATTTATTCACTGATTTTTGTATTATGTGGGAAACTAGTTTTTATTGTTTTTGTGTTGGGCTTGTTTTTATTTTACAAGGCAAGATACACAAGAAAAAACATTTATGGTAGAGTTAATGACCCAGTCTATGGCTGCCTAGGAGTCAGAATAGTTCCACCACTAAGAATTGGGTAAGGTTTTAAATAAAGGATGAACTTCTACAGAATGAGGTTTGGGAGGCAATTCCTGGCAGAAGAAACATGTACATCCAAGACATAAATACGTGGTGCATTTCAGGAATAGTAAGTAGTATAATGTGATAGTCCTAGTACCTGGCTGGGAGTGTAGTGCACATAAATATAGAAAGATATTGAGGTACCTCAGCCATGCTTCTCATTCCAAATTAAGAAGTTGGGTTTTTGTTTCTTTCTTTCTTTCTTTCTTTTCTTAAATTTATGTCTGGAAAGTCATTGAGGAAATCTCTTTAAAAGGGAGTGACATGACCAGATTTTTACTTCAGATCAGTGTGACTAAAGTATCTCTATCCAATAGAAACACCCCTTACCCCCCCCAAAAAAACAATGCAAATATAAATGCAAGCAACATAGTAATTTTAAGTGTTCTACTAGCTACACTAAAAAATGAAAAGAAACAGGTGAGATTTATTTTAATATATTTTACTTAACCCAATGTATCCAAATATTGCTTCAAACAGTAATTAATATAAGCAGTTATTGATGAGACATTTTGCATTTCTTCTGCTAAATTTTTATAATTCATTGTATATTTTACATTTTACATTTATAGCCATCTCAGTTCAGACTAGCTATTTTTAAAGTGCTCAGTAGCTGCATGTGGCTTATCTACCTATTTACTAAACACTGCAGCTTTAGAGCCCACACTATAGTATAAGAATGGGGAAACTTTTTTTCCCCCCAAGAGCTATTTGGATATTTATAGCATAATTTTCAGGCCATACAGATTTATCAACTTAAAAATTAGCCTGCTATATTTGGTCAAACATTTAATTAACTCACCCCTAATGCCTTGGCAAGGCCAGGCCAAATGATTTTGTGGACCTTATATAGCCTTGGGTGGGACGTTCCCCACCCCAGCTATAAGAGATGAATGGTGATATGAATGAGATCAGAAACGGGAGGAAGAGTATTGGGTTAATCCCAGAGGAAAATGGTGAGGGCCTGAACAAAAGTAGTGGCAGCAATGATGAGGACAAGTAAACAGAGTTTTTAAAGAAATAGATCCTCTAGTCTTAGACAGTCTTTTTTCCTTAAGCATTAGTTTCTATGATGCATCCATGTTGACACAAGCAGCTATAGTTTGTCTTCATATTTACATATAAAAGCCCAGTAACCAAATAGCAGAATGACTGGTGGACCAGTCACTATGATAAGCACTGACCACCCCGGGGCTGACACTCAATGCAGGAGCTGTCCCCTAATAATCAGTGTACTCCCACAGTGGGAGCACAGCTCGGCTGATCGGGATGAGCATTGCTCCCACAGCAGGCTGATGCTTGCAGGCCAGGCCCCCCATCAGTGCACGAATCTGTGCACAGGGGCTCTGGTTGCTATATAACTTTCCATTGTAAATATACACTACTATATTTTACCCATTTTCCTGTTGCTTCCTGTCTTCCCATATTTTGATATTATAAACAGTATCACTATGAACATTATTATGCATGTCCTGTAGTACACATGAGTAAGAGTTTCTCTTAAATCTATATACTAGCCCTAACTGGTTTGGCTCAGTGGATAGAGCATCAGCCTGCGAACTGAAAGGTCCCAAGTTTGATTCTGGTTAAGGGCATGTATCTTGTTGCAGGCCCATTCCCAGTAGGGAAGGGCAGTTGGGAGGGACCAGGTCTGCAAGGGAAGGCAGTTGTGGGTGATCAAGTCAGCAGGGGATGGCAGTTGGAGGAACCAGGCCTGCAAGGGAGGGAAGTTGAAGGCAATCAAGCCTTCAGGGGAGGGCAGTTAGGGGTGGCCAGGCTTGCAGAGGAGGACATTTGGGGGTGACTAGGTCTGCAGGGGAGGGCAGTTTGGGGTGACCAGACCTGCAGGGGAGGGCAGTTAGGAGCAAACAGGCTGGCAGGGGAGCAGTTAGGCATCAATCAGGCTGGCAGGGGAGTAGTTAGAGGGTGATCAGGCTGGCAGGCAGAAGTGGTTAGGGGCAATCAGGAAGGCAGGCAGGTGAGCAGTTGGGAGCCAGCAGTCCTGGATTGTGAGAAGGATGTCTGACTGCCCGTTTAGGCCCGATCCAGTCAGACATCCCTCTAGACTGGAGAGGATGCAGGCTGGGCTGAGGGACACCCCCACCCCCACCCCGTGCACAAATTTTAGCTAGCTGTCTCTTTGTGTTTGTTTCTATGTATTAGGTAGAATTGTTATGCCTCCCAGTCTTTGTGGGGTGGCCATCTGCACCTGTGGGACCCAGTGGTGCAGTCTCCTTGATCTCCTGAGCTGAGTACTCCAGGAATGTTCCTTTTATTATATGAACTCTCCTGTTGTAATTTGGTCTTGATTGCTGTTGGCCTGTTTATGTGTATGATCAACCCTCAGCTAGCTGACTGTGAGGCTCAACTCCAACCATATCATGCAAGTTGATGTACAGGCATGCCAGCAGCTGCAGTGTATCTGTCTAGACTAATACCAGTTGAAATGGCGATGACAGGGGTCCAAGGAATCATAAATTTTATACTTGGATTATGGTGGTTTCAGATTAGAAGTGCCCTCAACATCTGGTTTCTCTGCTCAAAGCCTTCATAAACTGAAATCCAGGTGTTGGCTGGGGTATATTCTCAGCCAGAAGCCTGACTAGAGAAGAATAAACTTTTGTGGCTCTAGGATGCATAGCATCTGTGAAGCCAGCAGTGGAGATAGAGGTCCTGCTGCTTTGAGTCTCTAGAAATTATCTTTTGTTCAGAAGGGACTACTGTTAAAATTTTAATATATAACCTGTTTATTTTTTGTTGTGTGTGAATACATAGATGTAGACACATACAAAACGTATTGTATTGCTTTTACAAACTTTGTATGTAATGATCATTTTTCTATATAATTAAATATTTCCTAACATTTTAATGACCACATAATGTTGCAGTTTGAATGAACTCTAATTTATTTGGTACCCTGTCAATGTTTAGATGCTTCCAATTTTTCCTTTGCAAGAGTAGTATTACTTTTTTTTTGGCATGATCAGGAAAACAGATTTCCAAGTACTTTTTGAGACCTAGAATATCCACAATGAGGTCTTATAAGCTCAGGAAATAACATCACTTCTTTGCATACAATCTCTTGGCTTTACAGTTACCCATGGGTTCCAAGTAAAAATACCTCTAGTTCACCCTTTTTCATTTTTATACTAATAAATAAGACTTCCTCTAAATTTTATATTCATATTTAATGGGTACCCCTGGAATAAGTGAATTTATATGTGGCTTGGTATACAAATTTCTGTGTATATTCAGGAGAAAATAAAATATTTATTGAGATTTGCAAGTAATTTATTTTTTATTTTTTTAATCCTCATCCAAGGATATTTTTAAATTGATTTTGAGAGAGAAAAACATCAATGTGAAAGAAAAGCATTGATCAATTGCCTCCCATACATGCCCCAATCAGGAATTGAATCCACAACCTATGTATAATATGTTCCCTAACTGGGAATCAAACCTGCAGCCTTTTGGTGTACAGGATGATGTTCCAATTAACTGAGCCACCCAGCTAGGGTGCAGTAAATATTTTAATGTTTTTCACCATCTATGTTTAAATTTATAGTTAAGAAATTTTGTATTGTCTATAATCCTATATAATAAAGAGCTAATATTGCAAATGGTCATCACGCCCTCATGCCGGGGCTGAGGGACCTGAGGCTGCCCGCCCCCCCAATACTCTCCCCCCACCCCCAGCCCCAGTGCCATGCTGGGGGTCCTGAGGCTAGGCTTGGGGACCTGAAGCCATGCCTTAACCCCCATGGGGCTTGATGGAGGATCTGAGTCTGCGACCCCCATCTGGCACTGGGCCAGGGGACCTGAGGGTTGCACGAAATTTTGAGGCACACTTGGCTAGGCGGGGACTTAACTCTGGGACCCAAGGCACGCCCAGACTCTGACAGGAGGGAGATTTTCATATGCATTTTACTAATTTTCTTTCATCTCTGATACTTCTATTATAGAGAAAGGGCAAATAGCAATATTAAAATGTTTCCTCTAATTAATTCCCTTTTAATATGCATGAATTTTGTGAACCAGGCCACTGGTGTTATATATTTCTGTGATGTTAGTAAGCAGGTTTTTAATAATAATTTAAGGTTTTAATGAGCCATATTTTGGGTATAGTAATGCTTTTCTTCTCCCTCTCTCTTTTTTTTTTTTTTTTTTTTTTTTTTTTTTTTAATTTTGTCTTACTTTATGTAGGTTGCTTCTATCTTTGCTTTTGCCACCTGTGGAGGTTTTAAAGGCAAAACAGAAATTCTAGTGAATTGTCCTCCTAAAGTTCCTGAGAATAAAACCATTACAGCTACTTTTGGTTATCCATTCAGGTGAGCTATTTATTTGTTTTTATGGTTTAACAACTCTTTTTACTTTCATATTGACCCATTAAGATTTCCAGCAATTTATTAATCTTAGGAGATAAAAATTTTTGAATTGCATCCTCATTTGTAAATAGTGGTCATTGCTACTCAAACTGTGGTATTGATAGACCAATATCTGTACATAGACCAATAACTGTTTCCATAGTCTAGGTGAAATAAATTATAGAAAATGGGAGTAAGCATTTAGAAACTATTATATGACATTGCCTTGACATTTGTATTCTATCATCCCACAGTGGATTAAAAATTTAATAAAAAAGAGACTGCTCCATGACCATAGTGTGAGAAGTCATGATGTGGAAGCAAACACAACTTAGGGGGGAAAAATCCTAATTTCTCATGTGTTTGCCATTACTAAATAATAGTGTTCTTTATATAATTTTAGGACATGGATTTATGTGAAATCAGTTTCTATGGAGTTCCTATCCTATCATAAAACTTCATTTTCTTACTCTCAAATTAAAATGAATTTTTTTGTTGTTGTTAATCCTCACCCAAGGATATTTTTCCTTTGATTTTTAGAGAGAGTGGAAGGGAGGAGCAAAAGAAAGAGAAATGTCAATGTGAGAGAGACACATCAATTGGTTGCCTCCTGTACCTGTCCCAGCCAGGGCCAGGGTTCAAGTCTGCAATCGAGATATGTGCCCTTGATTGGAATTGAACCTGCAACCCTTCAGTCTGCGGGCCAGTGTTCTAACCATTGAGCCAAACAGACCAGGGCCAAAATGAATATGTTGTGAATTCTTCTATATGACTTTAATATTCATTGAACAGTTTATTGAATGTGTCCATGTTTAAGCCATAGTGTGAAGCTCCTTTCACTTATTCTAACTACTTACTGAACTCTCTAGGACTCAGTTTTTCTGTTCAGTATATTGAAAATACTACTTATTAAGTTCATTTTGATGGTTAAATGAAATCTTACATTAAAGATCTGTCATTTATAGCAAGTGCTTGGTATCATTGCCTCTTCATCTCCCAACTCTTCTCTTATAAATTTGCTGTACAAGGAACTCTTTCTGCATCTTTAGTGATAAGTAAATTATGGATAGGGAAATTATGATTTGAATTATGGATAGGGAAAATTAAAGACAAGGTGAAGTTGGCAGGTAATTAAATCCAGAATTAAAATGTGAATTATTATAATTGGCTCTCCTGGTCCCAGTCACACAGACTCTTTCTTAGAATGGAATATTATGTCTCAAATTATAAACTGTTTTGTATAAGCCCTCTTACTCTGTTACAGTTTTAATGCAGAAGATAGTATCTGGATTTGTAAATGTTTAAATTAAGTCTGTATTAAATTTTTCACGAATCAAGATATAATGTATAATTCATGTATATATTATGAAAATCTTAATTTATTTTAATATTTGGATTTTTCCTTTTATTTTAAAAGGAAAATGTTTTTAATTTACAGGATAGAGCAAAGTGGGTTTACAGTTATGAGTACATAAAACATAGTTTTGTCTTGTATTATTATTTATTGTTGTATTTTTTCCATGCAAACAACTGTAAACCTACTTTGCCTTACCCTATATTTTGGGGATATTTTTTAATGTCATTTTAATATTCTGCCTATGTATTTTTGTCTCTGTTGGTGGAGTCCAGATAATTTATTGGAGCCTTTTTTTAATAGGTTGAATGAGGCATCATTTCAGGCTCCTCCAGGAAATGTATGTGATGTAGGTTGGAACAAGTTTGTCCTTGTTGGAGATTACGCTTCTTCTGCACAATTCTATGTTACATTTGCAGTCTTTGTCTTCCTGTACTGCATTGCTGCTCTTCTGCTCTATGTTGGTTACACAAACCTCTATCGGGATAGTCGAAAACTTCCCATGATTGTAAGTAATCACCTTCCTTTTATACAAAAATAATTTGTATATGATAAATATGTATTATATTTGCAGTGAAATAGACTTACTTACACTTTAAATAAAAATTCTTGGCATGAGCCAGTTCAACATATTTTGACCTGTGTTTGTGAGGTTTTCTCCTTTTGTCATGTTTAAGCCAATTCTTTTAGGGTATTTGAAGCACTTTTTCTGTACTCTAAGGGAGAGCTGAGGTTTGCTTCTTATTCTGTTTTAACCTGGGAAAACTTCAATATGTAATAGAGCATCTTTAGGTTGCAAGTAGCAGAGAAATTAAGTAGAACTGCTGACCATACTAATAGTTTCAAAACTGTGGTCCTACTTCTTACCTTTTTTCTCTCTTCTTAAAGACCCCCTTTATGCCTCCACAATATGATCTTGAGGTTAATAGTCAAGAAATTAGCAAACTATAGCCCACAAGCCAAATCTCATTCACTGTTTTTTGTTTTAATAAAGTTTTTTTTTTTAACACAGCCACACTCAATCATTTACATATCTATGACTGCTTTCATGCTACAGTGGCAGAGTTAAATACTTGAAACAGAGATTAAAAAAAAAAAAAAGATTTACTGCCTTGCCTTTTTTAAGAAAATATTTGCTGACTCCTGGTCTAAATTCCTTAAGTTAAAACCTGATGCAGATAATTCTATGAAAATTATAGAATTCAGCATTAGTAGCATTCATGAGTTAATTTTGAAATGTTAGATGGCAACAAAAGATTTGAATTTGAAGTCCTAGCAACATTTTTGAATTAAGTCTGCTGAGCTAAAGAATAGCAATAATCTCTAATATTTATTAGTAGAATCTGACCTGGATCATTGGTGACAGATTCAGAGATAAGCCATGTGTTTAAGCTTGACCTCCACTACAGAAAAATAAGTACAAAGGCAGTGTTAGTGTTACTGACTTGAAGGGAGAAAACCAGAGGTGTTTTTTGTGATACTGGTCTTTTATATCTTGAGAAAATACTGACATGCTAATTATTTATGAATTTACTTTAAAGAGAAGGTATTTAAATATGAAGAAATTATGAAATAAGATAACAGGTTTTATTTATTTACTTATTTTTAATTTTTGCTGCCTGGATCATAAGAATGCAAATGGTAAGTAAGGAATAAAACAATTTTTTATCATCCATGTTTATTTCATTTTTTATATATAGAAGAGATTCTTAAACTTGACATTTTTATAAAACATTTCTTTATTGTTAGGTGCTTTCCATAAACTATTTGTAATGTTTAACAGAAATTACATATGAGGAAGCTAGAAAACTATGATGATTAGATGTATTTTGTTAAAATTCCTTATTACTTGTATTTAAATGAAGACATAAAAATTCTTGCCATGTTCTCATTATCCCAACAAATTTTCAAGTTAAGTTTAGCAGTGAGCCTTTCATTTCTCATATTTTGTTTAAACTTTAAAGTGACCACACTTTTAAAAGCAACATGTAAATCTAATTTTTTCTTTTTTTTAATGTTTATTGATTTCAGAGAGGAAGGGGGAGAGTGAGAGAGATAGAAACATCAATGATGAGAGAGAATCACTGATCAGCTGCCTCTTGGGATGCCCCACACTGAGGACCAAGCCTGCAACTCATGTATGCCTTGACCAGGGAACCAGCCATGACCTGGTTCATAGGTCAGCACTCAATCTCTGAACCATGCCAGCTGGGCCAAATCTGGTTCTTTTGTGAAAGGCTTTTCTGTCTAATGAAACTGATCGAGTTGCATCAGTCAGAAAGTTAAAAGTAATTTTTTACCTCATGATCAATTAGTGGTCATGTAGAGAGAGAATTCAGAATGAATTCCTTAGTGTTTTTTTTTTGTTGATATTGCATATAATAGACGCTTTTTGTAGTAAAAGTCCAGCTTCTAAATTAAATTTGGAATTCTACTTTTAATTTAAACATAGAAATATTAAAAAGTTTTCTCGAGATACCCAAATTTTTAACTATAGCCAAATATGACATTAGTTTTTTATTTTAAAGAACTGTCTGTTAATGATGACATTCTTTTATTTTAGCAATCCTCTGCTAAGGTATTTCTAGGAACATTTCAATTGTGACATTAAATCCATTAAAGCTTCCTTTTTAAGTAAATGTACTACTTTTTTTGTGTTAAGTAGCAGGAGCTTAAGGTTTCTAGGCCATGTGGAGAATCAGAAATACCATAAAATAAAACCAAACAAATATAGGGTATCCCAGATCCTAAAAATCTCTAATGAATCATATCCTGATAATTGGTAGGACCAGGGCTGCCATAGCCGCTGCAGTGTGAACTGCTGCAGAACTCCAGGCATGTATGGTGCATCATCTTAACTAGAATCCTGAGCTGGACAAAATGTATCTTCAGAGACCCACATTTTCTCCTCACCCTGGGTTACTCTGTGCATCATTTTCAGAAAAGTTTTTGAAGTATAAGAATGTCATGTCAAGGCATCAGCAAAGTAGAGTTAAAGAACATAATCATGAAATGGGAAAAACAGCTTGTTGTTTAATTAGAAATTTGGAGGGGAAAAATAAAATTAAGAGGAATTGAGATATATATATATATTGGTTAAAGCTGTGAACTTGAGCCCAGATATTACTTTTTAAACATGTGATAATCTCATACATACTACTTCCAGTTCTTCAAAAGTCATTGTATTTCTAGCAAGGGTTTAGGAAATGTCTACCTGCAGCAAAAGGTGCAGCAGCAAAAAAGAACTCCTTCAGTGCAAAACTTTAAGCTATAAAGTTTCTGTCCTTTTCTCTTTGATCTACATTTTTTAAAAGGATCAGTAACAGTAGAAAGCTCAAATACAAAATGTAAATACCTTCATGTTTGTAAAGTTAGTCATTGTTTTGGGTTCTCTAATCACAAGATATTTATTCAATGTATTTTGACAAATTGGGAGAGCTATATGTAACATAATTTCTGTATCTTGTAAGTGGTCACTGGTGTTTATCCTAAATAACTAAGAGCTGGCTGGCAAAAGTAATTAGAAACTAATCAGATTCATTTTTAAAACAAAACACTTCTGGAATAAGCTCCAGAATTCATTACTGAGCTTGGAGTTTTGCTGCAGTTGTGTACAAACTCATAGCCTTGAGTATACCCTAATACATAACATTAAAAGATATAAATTTTACGTTACTCCCACTTTGGTCTTTAACTTAAAGGAAGACTAAACAAAGTGGGACTTATACTTTATGTTATACAAATGCGTATTTTTTAAAGTGTTATTTAGATCTTTATAACAACACTGACAAATTTTAGTTTCCCATCAGAAAGGATTAAGAGTAGATGTTTCTTTTCCTTTCTTCATCTTATTACTTGAAGAAAAAACTATCCAAAATATTAAAAAACTTCAGTTCTAATTTTAGAAATATAATAACTAGCAAAGACTTTAGTAGAAAACTACTAGGATAAGGTATTTTCAGAGAAATTTCTTTCTTATTCTTTTATTATTATAATGAGCATTCTTAAAATTTCATGATCAGGAATTTAAAAAGATTAGTCTTCCTGATATGTGCTTTTCACCATTTGATTTTGCGTACCATGGAGAATTAGAGTTAACTAAAGTTTGTTTTGCCAGAACAATCTGATTAATTAGAAGAAGGAAGGGTAAGGGAGTTAAAGAGTATATGCAAAGGATTATATGAAAGGATTTTAGAATATAAATTGAAGGAAATTAGAGCATAAGTGAGATTGAGAGATAATAAACAAGTGATGAAATCAGATTGTAGATCTCCATGGGGGGAGAGGGGGGATTTTTAAGGTGCAATGCCAGACAGAGGTAGCTGGAAAGAAAGGTGCTATTGGGAAGTAGGCTGTTTAAAATAGAAATTATGAAAGGATATATAATAGTTATTGTATTTGTGATAACGGACTAAGATATGGTCCTGGGAGTGAGTGGCTTAGGTATGCTTGTGGTAAGGGTTATTTAAAACCTTGATTTTTAGTGTAAATACGTTTCACTCCTAAAGAGATGATTGTGTCTTGTTTAGTGTCGTGGCTCAGGCTTTGGGCTAGTAATATTATAATAAACACCAATGTTTATTATGTTGACTGTACCCTTTTCTATAAAGTGTATCATGAAGGCCATTTCTCAGTACCATGGGATTCGATGTAATCTCAATTTCTTCATTATGGATTTAAACTTAGTATTTTTAAATTAACTGTTCATTATTAATTCATACTTCTTTTTACTTTAGGACTTTATTGTTACTCTTGTTGTCACATTCTTGTGGCTGGTGAGCACTTCAGCCTGGGCTAAAGCTCTTACAGATATTAAAATAGCTACCGGTCACAGTATTGTCAAAGAACTTGCACCCTGTCATTCTGAAGGATTGATGTGTCATTTTGGCTCTGTGACTGGTATGGGATCCCTAAATGTATCTGTGGTATGTATGCAGTATTTATAAAATATTTCATTTCACTTATTTGAAAAACCTTACCTAGTAATTTAACAATAGCTTTTAATAATTTCTAGATGTGTTGGATTTTATTTTCATTAAACTGTCAGAATCCTGGTTACCATATAATCTTTATCTTTATAACTACAAAGAAAAGTTTGTTAGAAAAATTAGAAAATTGGGTTTTAACAAGATCATAATTGAGTCTTTTTTATCATTAAAATTGACTAGGCAAGACTTTTACCTGATAGGTACTTATAATAGTCACTAACATTTATTAAGTCAATATGCCAGGTGTTACACTAAAGGCATTACACTCATATCTTACATGATCCAACAATCTAGGAAAAAATTTAGCTTTTATTCACCCAAGTTGGCAAACCAAGGTTTGAACCAGATCTGACTTTATAAAACTCGTTCTCTAATGTTACTTGCTCTGAGTCTATGAAAGTAATAGTTTTCTGGTTTAATAAGTAACCTAAAAAAAAATAAGTCTATAGAAATGTACATATTCTTTAATCCTCTATTTTACCAAAATTCAGATAAATATATAATTAAATATAATGTTATATGGAGTATATTATGTTTAGGGAGGTCTCGTGTCTTTTTAAGAAAGTGTTGGGTGAAGTTAGCGCTGCCTTATAAAGCAATTTGACCAAATTTTTGCTTTATAACTTTGTAACCGAAAGGTCACCTTTTTTGCACTTACATTGATTTATAATATCTGTGAAATGGATAGTTTCAGAAATGTTTTTGTATGCAAATATACAAAAAGTTATAAAGCTTTGTCTTTAGTAATATGATAGTACTCTCAAGCTTCTTATTCCACTCTTACTTCATATTCTTTTTACAAATATAAAAACATATATTTCTTGAATTTAGAAAAAAACGTGAAAATAGGGATAGCTTCAGTTTATTCATCTTTGAGACTTTCTTCTTATCAAATTTGTACTAGAGACTAATGTAAGATGTGAAATAAAGTTCTTCTGACTCCTTTTTTCTTTTGCCTATAGTTGTTGGAATAGGAAAGATGGTAGGTAGTAGGGGGTAAAAAGTAGGGAAGTAGGAAAAAACACACGAGGCTTAAATTTAAAAGGAGGGTTTTAGTTATGCTCTCAAATTTAATTCTATTTTTTATAATAGTGACCTTGCAAAAATAGATTTTTTTTGGCATGGTTTTATATGTTACAAATTTAGAGATTTAGCTTTATTTCATTGGGAATAAGTCATTATATATTTGAATTTGGTATTTAAATATAAAGTATTTTTTATTCCATGTCATATGTACTATTTAAAACTTTATATGAAATAATGATTTACTGCCTGGAAATGTTAAGTATTTAAGGAAAACTATGATGGGTATGAATAAAAATATTCATAAAAAAGTAGGCATTAAATCTTCATGTTTCTTTTTCTCTTTCTTAGATCTTTGGCTTTCTGAATATGATACTTTGGGGAGGAAATGCATGGTTTGTGTACAAGGAGACCAACTTACACAGTCCATCAAATACTTCTGCTTCTCATACCCAAGGAGGTATTCCACCTCCTACTGGAATATAATTTAAGGGAGAAGTACATTGTATAAAATATACGTCTAAACTACGACCTTTTGCCAACATCTTGAGAAGCATTATGTGTTTCTAATAAAAGTAATGGCTTTATCAATAAATTGGTGGGTTTAAAATTTTGCTGCTTTTTTACACAAAGCCTGTACCTTTCCTAGAAACTTAAGATGTAAATGTATTCGTACATGTAAATTTGAAAATTCAGGGCCTATTATGAGATGATACACGTTTTTAAATGAACATTAATTTCCTCACTAACTTGTTTGCCTTCCAGAGTGTTTACACCTTACGCTTAACATATCTTCACTCAGAAAAGAGTTATATTGTCATATCATAATAGGAAGAAAAATCTATTTGGAATATACACTACTGTCAGTTTGTACAGATCATATACCTAAGACCTATCTTTGTTTAATTACATAAATCATATTTAGAAAAAACATTTAGTTCAGAATTTATATCTGGACATTGTTTATATGTATGGAAAATTTTTAATTGCAAAGACTGGGTGTATGTTTTATTTGTTTTTCTAAATGACCTGCAGTACTTAACAGGTGTGCTAAAATGTTTTGGGAGTGGGGGTTGAAAATTTCTAATAGATGTATGTTAATTTAGTAATTCTGTCTCATGAGATGTAAGCTTCCACTATGCTGGTTGTTTAATAGACTTGCTATATAAGCAGAAAGAACATTGTTCAACTAGATATTTTGATATGTATGGGCATTACTCTTAGTGATATTTGTTGTCCTTTGTTGCTCATGCCACTTAACGGCAGGCTGAGACCTATTCTCCTTGCAAGTAGAATAAAATAATCTACTTTTTTGGCATTTTAAAAAAAATTAAGATTGCCTTTTATTTTCGAAACCTTTAATACTTAGATTCAATGAAGTTTTATTGAATTTAGCATTGATATTGTGAAAATAAATGCAATTTGGATTTCATATTTCTTAATGTTCATTCTTATTTCACAAATGGTTGATAATGAAATTATGCATCATAAACCAGGAATCTGTGATGTTTTTTAATTTGTATTTTTCTGATTGAGGTTGGTGATCTTTCTTTATATTTAATGGCCACTTAGGTTTTCCCTATTCTGTATTGCCTATTTATCTTCATAGATTGTGCTTTTTGTGTCTTTAGGTATATTTTGAATCTAGGACTTATTCACATTTTGCTTCCTAATCTGTTTGTTGTACAGGCCAGATTTTGTATTCTTACCACTTGATTGTTTATTTGTGAAGCATGTCTTGCTATTGCCTTATTTTTGTTGATTTTATTCATGACAAGAATTGTCAGTGTGAGTATATCTTTTATGCAACCAACTTAATAAAGAAGTCAAAAGAAAGAGTGCACTGATTGTTATATTACAAAGAAACCATCTTAAAAGGCATGAGCAATGCAAAATAAAATTAATTTTTAAAGCAAGAGAAGATCACAGTAGTTTTTTGGGTGTTTTTTTTGTTTGTTTGTTTTGTTTGTTTGTTTTATGTTTTGCAAGGAATAAAAGATAAAAAATGCTTTGGAGACCCTGTGTCTATATTTTTTTTTCCTTTCAATCTCATTTTTTAAATGTTTGTTTATAACCTTAAAGTGAAACCTTTTCTAATTGACTGTCCATCAGTTAGGCACAAAAATTCTTGATTAAGTGTGCATGCCCTGAAGCCTAACTGAATTTTAGTCTTGGCTTCACCAAGTACTAGCTAATTAACTAGGCAAATTACTTACCCTCTGAATGCCTCAATTTGGTTATCTGGAAAATGGGAATAAGAATGCTGTGGACCTTAAAGTAATTAAAAGGATAAAGTGAGTTAAGAGACGTAAACTCCTTTGACCTGAAAGAGTATAAGAATGAAGGGAGATAATAAATGTAAAGTCCTTAGGAACAATGATGAAAAAAAGTAGGTTGTTTATAAATGTTTATTATGATTGCTAACTTGATAGCATCTCAGAGAGACTCTTAACCTGGAGTCTAGGGGAAGGGTGGTTGGGAACAGAAAGGCCGGACAAGCTTCAGGATTACATGAGCCTCCCTTTATTTTCCCCTAAGAGCCTGGGATGTCTTGGTATTTATATGTCTGTTGTGGTGGACGTACTTAAAGTTAAGGACATTAAAAGTTAATAACTATTGAGATTACAATAGATCTAGAAAGGAGTCTGTTGCCTTTTTACTCCCTGATTTTGAGTCAACATTACAAGGTTCAGTAATTTATAGGATAATTTCCAGCAATGGAAGAAATAAACAGTTTGGAACTTTTATTCGGTGGTAGGTTACAAAGAATTATTTATAAATAGTACCAGTATTAATGTTTGTGTGAATTGAGGTCTATTGGATAATGATACTTAAAATAATTACTAACCTGCTGTAAATGTTAAGGACAATATTGCTTTCTGTGTCACACTTAATTTTTAAATGTATATAGTATTTCAGATAAATAAGTATAAGCAATAATATATAACTGAGTCCCCACCAGTAGGTTGAACAAATATTAACATTTTGTTTTCATTATGTCATATTTGCTTTGGTTTTATCTTTTTAAGGAAATAAAACATCACAGCTACAGCTTTTTCCTTTCTGAGGTACAGTTAAATTTTTCTCACCTTTCACTAAAATAGCACTGGGAACAATAATTTTGGGAATCTGTGAAGGCTTTTCTAGGACATAACTAGAAGTAGAACTGTTGGAATGTGAGATACATTTCAGTTGTAACTTGAGTATTACAAAATTGTTCAGTAAAGTGCTTGTACCAATTGAGTTTCCCACCAACAATATATGAGTCTCTGTTGCCCCATATCTTGGCCAATATTTAATATTATTGGACCATATAGCCAATCTGATGGGTTTGAAATGGTGTTGTGATATTTTTTTAATTTGTAGCTCTCTGTTACAAAGTTGGTGATCTTTCTCTGTATGTATTGGCCATTTGGGTTTTTTCCTATTCTGTGTTGCCTATTCATCTTCAGGATTTGTACTTTTTGTATCTTGAGAAATCCTGTGTCATAAAGATAAGCATCTCTGTTTTCTTCTGAATATGTTAGTTTTGCTTTTTACTTTTAGGTCGTTAAGCCAATTAATATAGGAACAGAGAAACCTGAAAGAATGATCTGTGGTTGGACTTGTAGATAAGGAAATAGACAATATTGGAATGAAAGTGGAGTAGCTAGGTAGGGAAGAAGGTGAAAACAGAGATGGGGGGGAGGAAGGAGACTGACCAGCAACCCTGGTAAAGTCAAAGAACAGGTGTGGTGGGAATTATTAGAATGAAAGAACTGAAGAGATGGCTGATTGTGGTCAGAAAGAATTCAGAGGGGTAATAAGATACAGAGTGTGGTCATGAAAGTGAGTGAATAAAGTGTAATAGAGACAAGGAAAACCAGAGTACTCCCCAGTTTCTTGGGAATGAAATTGTGATTAAAGTACTATTAATGTATCTTAGATCTCTACTTGGGTCATTTAGCTTCCTTCTCAATTCTGATAATAGATTCTGTAAAAAGACAAACACAAATCTATGCTTTCTTTAAATAATCTAGCAATGGTCAGAATAGCTATAATGTTCTTCCCATAGAAAAATGGCTTAAAACTCCTTTATGTAGTTATGGGTGAAGCTAGGGTTTCTGATCTGTCCAGAAGTAGAGGATCTACATGATTTTTGTCAATAGGGAGCAATGCTATTCAGACTTCAGTATGCATATAAACCATCTGAGGAATGTGTCAAAATGCAGTTCTTGTTCATTAGGTCCAGAGTGAAGCCTAAAATCTGTATTTCTCCTGTTTCTAAAATGAGGCTGATGGCTGGTATCAGTGGATGAATCAGATTAAATATTTTCCTCTAAAAATACAATCATTAAAAGCATGACCCATTTGGAACTGATCTTGCCATCAAGAAAGTAGAGGCTCAGGAGAACTGATGATGAATTTTGATTTCCTTGGATTACGATGAAGACTAATGGAGTATGGTAAATAACCAAAGACCATCAGGTTGTGACAGAATGAAACTATACTTTGAAATGGAAAGATAGGTAGTTTATATCTGCTACAATACGTTAATTTAGCAAAGTTGCTGCATACAAGATCAATATATAAAATAGTTTTTATAGTAAAATGGCATATAAAAATAATTACTTAGTGATAAATCTGACAAATGGACAAACCTGTACAAAGTGTACAAACCTGAAAATTATAAAACTGCTGAGAAGGTAAACCTATATAAATGGAGAGTTGTACAATGTTTATGAGTTGGGAAATTCAGTATTAAGATGTCACTTCTCAAATTGATCAATCGATTCCACACAATTTCAATAAAAAAAAACTATGTTTTTTGTAAATTGACAAGCTGATTCTAAAACTTACATGGAAATGCAAATAATCAGCCAAAACAACTTGTAAAATAGGAATAACACAAACGTTAAGACATTATATAGCAAAGGATGTGAAAGACCTAGATACTGAAAACAAAGCATTATTAAAAGATATTGAAAAAGTATGACCTGGAAGATATTCTATGTTCATAGATGAGAAAAAGCAACATAATTAAAATGGCCATATTACTTATCCAAAGCAATGTACAGATTTAATGCAGTCCCATCAAAATCCCAATGTCTTTTTTTTAAGAAATAGAACAAAACAAAACAAAATCAGAACCACAAAAGACCTTAACAGCCAAAGCAATCCTGAGAAAAAAGAACAGAACTGGATATATATCACACAACCTGACTTCAGATTATACTACAGAGCAGTGATAATCAAAACAACATGGTACTGGCTGGAAACCCCACAGATCAATGGAACAGATTTGAGAGCCCAAAGATAAAACCACATGTATATGGGCAGATAATTTTCAACAAAGGAGTCAAAAGACATAAATGGGGAAAAGAAAACCTCTCCAATAAATGGTACTTTGAAAATTGAAAAGCAACATGCAAAATAATGAAACTAGACTACAGTTTGTCCCCATGTACAAAAATTAATCCAAAATGGATCAAAGAACCAGATCTGAATAAGTTATAAAAAAGAAAATGTAGGTACTAAACTTATGGACCTTGAAAAATTTGGCTCTCAAAAGAAATTTCAACCGTTGTACTGTACTGTTGATATTTGGCTCTGTTGACTAATGGGTTTGCCGACCACTGGCCTAGGTGGCCTCACGTCATCACAAGATGGCTACCCCCACATTGTCACAAGATGGCCAGCAGGGGAGGGCAGGTGGGGGCAAGATAGGCCAGAAGGAGAGGGTAATTGGGGGAGACCAGGCTGGCAGGGGAGGGGAGTTAGGAGCCATGAGGCTGGCAGGGGAGGGCAGTTATGGGGGGACCGGGCCAGCAGAGGAGGGCAGTTAGGGGCTATCAGGTTGGCAAGGGAGCAGTTAGACATCAGGCCAACAGGAGCAGTTAGGGGGTGATCAGGCAGGTGAGTCTTTAGGAACCAACAGTCCCAGATTGTGAGAGAGATGTCTGAAGGGTTCCAGATTGGAGAAGGTGCAGGCTGAGCTGAGGGATAACCCCTCCAGTGCATGAATTTTCCGCACCGGGCCTCTTGTCTCTTTAATAAAAGCTTAAGCGACCTTTACCATGGAGCGACTAGTCACTATGAGGTGCACTGACCAGCAGGGGCATACGCTCAATGCAGGAGCTGTCCCTTAGTGGTCAGTGCACTCCCATAGAGGGAGCACCACTCAGCCAGAAGCTAGGCTCATGGCTGGGTGAGCGCAACTGCTACAGCATCAGGATGCCATGGCAGCACTACCAAGCCGTGGCAGCAGGTGCAGGGGGCTGGGATGAGGGCAAGCGGCATGGCATCTGGCCCCGATTGGGGCTTC